AGAGGATTGCTGTACAAGAGGACTGCATACTGAATTAAATGACAGCTGCAAAAGCAGCCACCCTCAAAACATGCCTTGATGGTGTCCCTAGAAATTCTGGGGAGGTGGTGAAAGGCCATGTAGGTACCGGTGACGTGGGCTGGGGCAGGAGAAAAGATCTGGAATAAAACATAAAGACCAGATCTGGACAGCAGCCTTCTTTAAAATGCTCCCAAAGCTAGATGATGAGGAAAAGTTTCAATGCATGTCTGAAAAAACAGTTACAGGAAGAGGAGTACAGATTCTTTAGGAACTGCAGAAACATGGAGTAGTGGGAATTTGTAAAACAGTTCATGCTAAACAAAAAAAAAAAAAGTAGGAAGATGCTGGTAATTAACAAAAAAAAATTATAGGAGAGTTTTAAGCAATATAGCAGGTGAAAAAACCATCAGATTAAGAAGAGCACATGCTCTTGCTTCCACTAGGAATGAAATCACAGAAACTCTGTATGTCTAATAAGAGAGTGACTGAAGTTTTCAAAATTCAGTTGAGAAATCATAAGTCAGTCAAGCACACAGTCCTACTCAAGAACTCCCACAAGCGAAAAAACCAAAAACATTTCTAAATAGCTGAGCATAAATACAAGCAGCACAAGATGTAAACCCCAAATGTCTGTTTTTAATCAAGGACAGTGACGTGACAGGCATACCAGAAATACAATGGCAGCAAGACAAATAAGCAAGATATTGATACAAAATATATAGGAAAGTCATAAAAATAAACATATTAACTCATTAAATCAAATATGGACTGAATTTCCAGGTCTAATAAGGTAATCTCTGTTGTTAGACAGTATTACAATTAAGATGATGGCAGTAGCTATGACATCCAAGGACTATAAGGCCAGCCATGTAACTGTAATGAAAGACGGCAATTATCAGCAAGTTGGATAGATGTCACACTGAAGAGGCCAAGATCACTTTTTTTTTTAATATATTTTTTTCATGCAGCCAATCAAGGCTAACCAACTCGGGCTGCAGTCCCCAGGAGTGTACAAGACTTCAGTCAAAATGGTATTTTCAAAGACTGGCTTTATGATGGTAACTTTTATTTCTGCAAGAATACTAACCAAGTTTATTAATAAAGACAACAGTCCACTACTGCAGCCTTCCATAAAAAACAAGCAACATTAAATAAGAAAATACACTAAAATGAAATCAAAAAGACAAGTAAAAAAAATTCAGATGCAATGCTTGATGACAAGACTTTATGCACTGAACTTCAGTATGGTGACTTGAAATATACACATTAAACTTTTTTTTTTTTATTATTTGTGGGGAGAGGGAAGCTGGCATGAATTAAAAGCTACTAGCATTTAAAAGTCAACCTTTGTAAAACCAGTAGTCTAGCTTTAGCAGTCAAATGGAATCTGTCACTGAATGTAAAATTTAGACAGATCAGAGTGTAGAGGAACAATTTGCAGAAGTGCATACACACTGAACACCACCTTAAGAACAGGAACCGTGCCTGAATAAGGTAAGCAGATGATCAAAATAAAAAGCAAAGTATTTGGGAAAGAGAAGGCCACAGAGAAAAAAAATCCCCAAACTCCGAACAAAACCCTAAATCAGTTCTTTGTACCATGAAGGACCTTGGGCAGAACCTCTACAGGAAACTCGTTGAAGGTTTTACCCCTCAGAGCAAAACATCAGAAGAGGTTACAAAAAAATGGCCAGGGCTGGGGGCTATCACTCCCTAATTCTAAAGGAAATCAAGTAACTGCAGCACGAAACTTCTGAGTTAAAACCACCTCTGGAAGCTGGCAAAAGTGACATCAAGCTTTTGGGAGTTTAGTGGGTAGAAGGATCACTTCTTTTTTCAGAAGAGCTTCCAGAGGGATCCAGGGAACTACAGACTAATTGTATTTTTCTGTACATAGCAAACTGCCAGAAATTGTTCTAAAGCCATGAAAACAACTGGATAAACATACTGAGGAAAGTCAGTTGCTTTTGCAAAGGAAAGTCATGCTTGATAAACATTTTGGAGTTCTTCTAAAGACTAAAAGAGATGAGAGTAAGGACATCTAAATACAGCATGCTTGAAATTCAAAAAGACATCTGACACATCCCCTTGCCAGAAACCATTAAAGATGCTGTGCTGCCAAGTCGTCATATCAATAAACAGTTTAAAGGTAAAAGAGAAATTAGCAGTCGTTCTTTCCTAAGGGCATGGATCACCAACAGAACACCACAGACACCTATGCTGGGGCTAGCAAAGTACAACCTATTCGTAAGGGTTCCAAGACAGCAATCTCTGAAGCCCATAGTCTATTCCAGTAACACTACGTTACTCAAAGTAATAAAGGGATAAAGGAATTAAACAAAATATTGCAGAACCATTTCACTGAGGAAATAGGAGTTAAAACCAGCAGACTAAATTCACTGTAGATAAATGAGAAGAATTCACATTGGGGAACATATAAATCCACAGTGAATACTGTGAGCGATTCTACCTGCTCCTCCCTCCTTGAGAAACTGGAAAAGTAAAGCAAAGGACAACAAAGATGACATAAGGTACAAAAGAGCTTTCTAGCAACAAGCAACTAAAAGAAATATGACTGTTCAGTTTGAAACAGAAACAACTGAGGCAGGCAGGATATGATAGAGGTCTACAAATCCAAGAGTGACACAGACAGAGCACAAGAGGGTGTTATGTCTCATCAAATGTAAAAACCCACAGGCCTCAACCAGACCTATCAAATGGCAGATTCAAACATACCAATCACAAACTACTGGAGGTACAAGAGTCTGCTAAGCAGACATCATCACGCACTTGATCTGTTACGTACCCTGCACATTCACTACTTCCAATGTCCGAGACATCACACCACGTCAGACAGAACTCTAGCCTGACAAATACTACTTCTTAGAGTAGATGTACACAGTAAATACTGAAATAGATTACTGTTGTTAACTAGTTTCCAGTTCTAATTTACCAATTTGAAGAAAAGGGAAAAAAAAAAAGTCTTTTAAAAATACTTCAAGGCTACCAACACTTCAGTCTGGTCCTATGGCAACAGCAATAATAAAAACATAGTATGTATTGCACCATTAATAAAATTAATTACTTAGTAGCAAGCTGAGATTCTTCTGAGGGTATTATTCCAGGCTGAAATCACAAATATAAATTAATACTTTAATTAACAGTTCCCTTACCCAACAAAACAAGGGATAATAATTACGGTCAGGATTCACTAAGAGGAAATTATTTTTAGCCTCTTAAGCTTGGTTTCTGGTCAAGATATGTCACGCAGACTTTGCCTGTAAAATACTGGGAACAGGTATGGGCACCAGCCAAGTTACTGGCATATTACCACTTGACTAGTAAAAATGAGAGTACCAGCTGTCCTCCCTCACCTTCGGTGGCCTCGGAAAAAATTTATCTATTCTTTGGCCAATTCCTCCTATCAAAGAGAAACATAATTAGCAATTATATTTTTGGTGCAAAGGCACATATGACACATAACTCATCACAGTAAAACAACACCACCTCTCTACAAAGAGATAGCAGTAAAGATAAGGACTCCTGAAAGGCCTACCTTTAGTGGTATTTTATATTCCAAAGTGAGTAACACAACCAACTGTAAAAGTCCCTGAATATACAATCATTCCTTGTATTATTTTGCAATACATACCTGCGAGAAGCTTGAACATGCACTGTTTTCTGGCACAAAGACAAAATTTCTCAGTTGCACAAATGAAGAAAATCTCGGGCTTTAAAGACTCAAAAGTTATCATCAGTGAGATCTCTTCTTTCTGTACTTTGGTTTGTGCCAAGATGGGAAGTAATTTCAAAAGCTGAATCAACATCTGGATCATGATGCAATGAACACTGGAACTAAGAAGTGAAGGTCCTAAACCACATTCAGAGTTTTCTTCAGAGATGATAAAAACATCAATTACCAAAAATTACTTGATCTCAATAGAAAAGCCTCAGGTCAAATTTTTGGTAATTTTTCAGCAAGAGAGGAACACTCAGGATCATTTACAGCTGAATAATTACTCTGCTTCAAAAGCTGCTTTGAATAAAATAGATGGCTATTTTATTGACTATACATACATATTAAAGAGCATCAACACAGCAGCTGAACTGAGCATTCAAGAAGATATAGAGCAAAATACCTTGACTTCACACTTTGGAAGTGATATGTGTTTTCAAAACATCTACTGAGCCAGTGAAAACTCTTTTATGCGGCAAGGTCTGCAACTGTACTGTTCACCAGTGCACGTACAACTCAAACTCAGAATATTATAGAATTTGCAACTCCAATGACCAATAAAGAGTCCTTCAATGTATACATGCAAGTGCTAGTGGATTAAATGAGTGCTGTACATACATTCAAGAATGGAACTGAGCAGGTTTTGTCTTTATAAAACACACATTGCATCTAATTAAATCTCCTAAAGGCAATTCAGGTATGCTGAAGATCTAGAAACTCCTAGCTTTGTAGTGTTAGCTACAAACAAACAAAAAACCAAAGGAAACTCCTTGCTACTTTGTAGGGACTGATAAGAATAAAAATTATGCAGTTCGTAATCTTCACTCTACATGAAAAACTTAACGCAATCATACCTGCCAACCAATAAACATGCCTCTGCACTTTACTAACCTTTGTATAACATGATAATTCAAGTAAAATCTCCACTCTATCCCAAATTGGACAACATGACTTTATAAAAATACTGTGTTTTACAAATGTTATTTAGAACTATCGCCATACCAAAACCAGATCTTTTTTCAAATTGTTACATACTCAGACTTCATAATACCAAATGGACTCTTTCAGGTAGCTGAACATACACGCTGGACTTTACCACTGCTGAACTCCTCCTCTGACTAAATAATATTAAGTCAATTGCATACATCAATCTTCAGCTCATTTTCACCCCTTTCCCTTTAATTAGTACATATTTACATATTACCATCATGACATTAAAGTAGATACTTATTCAAAGTAGTATTTAAGTCAGAAGCTGCAAGCCTCCGTCTACAACTAGAGTACTCCCTGTAACATACGGGGACTCTAGAAGAAAGATAACAGCTTGTGCAACTTCATGAGGCTCTCCAAATCTTCCAAGGAGAATTGCTTTCTTCAACTGATCTTCTTCCAAATGAGCAGTCATCTCTGTGTGAATAAAGCCTAAGAAAGGAGAGAGATTTGAAGAGTTACCTAACCATCAACAAAATTTCTCTAGCCATTTTCCCTGGAATCCTCCAAAGTGAAATCTACTACCAGAATTCAGCACCAGCTACCATTCTTCAGAGTCTCAGAGGTCAGTCCACATCATTTCATGGCCAAGACCAATTTTTTTACCCAACCGATAAAATGGTAGCACTGATGTAATAATAAAAATACAGAGACCTATAGAAGTCCATTAAAAAAAAAAAAGGTCAACTAAAATTTGGACCCAAAACCATATTTAGTATCACTTTTCCGATTCTCATTAAACACATGAGTACGACATCTCTGGCAAGAAACCCCTACAGCTTGCAAGCGTTTCCATTATATTTTAGAATTTACGACAGCAAGTGCATAATTTTCATAATTTCATCCAACTCTGGGGGTCCCAGTACAAGAAAGTCATTGAGCTGTTGAAGCAAGTCCAGAGGAAGGCCATACAGGTGATCAGAGGGCTGGAGCACCTCTCCTATGAGGACAGGCGCAGAGAGGCGGGATCATTCAGCCTGGAGAAGAGAAGGCTCCAGAGAGAGCTAATTGCGGCCTTCCAGTACCTGAAGGAGGCCTACAGGAAAGATGGTGTGGGACTGTAGTGACAGGACAAGGGGTAATGGGTTTAAGCTAAAAGAGGGTAGATTTAGATCAGATGTTAGAAAGAAATTCTTTACTGTTAGAGTGGTGAGGCACTGGACCAGGTTGCTTAGAGAGGCTGTGAAGGCCCCATCCCTGGAAGTGTTCAAAGCCTCATCCAACCTGGCCTTAGGCACCCTGGTCTAGCGGAGGGTGTCCACGCCTGTGGC